GACCAAACAAAATTTGCTACCAAAACTCAGAATCCTCTTATATGCTGCTTCTCATTCTACAAACTAAAAATTTCCCTGCAATTTTCAAAGACTGACTTGGGCTTGATTAGGAAAAGTTCCTGGATTTTGGTCCTGAATTTATTCAACAAGCATATTGATCACCCAGTAGTATTAACTTAGGTGACAGGGATGCATTGGACAAAGATTCCTTCCCTGGTGGAGCTGATTTATGTTCTTGTGGCAGAGATGGACACAGACAATTACGTAAAAATAAGTAAAGTAGATATCCAAGACTAGAGAGAAAAGGAAAAGGAGATCAGAGATAAATCGGGATACCAGAGGAGGGTAGAACATGGTAGGAAGGGTGAGTTCATTAAGAAGGTGAAAAGTGATCCTAAATTTGAGGAAGCGCAGGAGGTTACCAAGAGAAATTGTTTCTCATCAGCCATGCAACCTGAGCCAAGCAACATTTAAGCTCTTGGTCTTGATTTCCTCATTTGTACAATGGGATATTGACCTCGATGATCTATATTAAAGTCCTTTTAAGTTCTTAAATTCTGTTAACTATGATTTACTTTATGCCAACATTACAGAATGAAAGCTGTGATCCAGTTAATGTACACTAGGCCCACACAACGTGTCATGTGTTGCTAAATGCCATGGATGCTGCAGGACTTAAGAGGTGCTTGTTATGATAGTGGCAGTTTAGAAGTATCTCATTACACTCATTCATGTATTTATCACATATATTCAACACCTACTATGTGCCAGGTACTACTGTCTAGCTGGAGTGTGACAAAGCTGACAGTCTAACGCTAAGCTGGGATGGAAGAGTGGTTTGGGACACAAGAAGGAGGATACAGCCACAATGAGTGGGGAGTGTCCACTTCTGCAAGGGATTCTAGATCTGCATTAATTTTTCTGCTCACAGAGAAATGAACTTCTGACAACTCTTTCTTTAAAAAATCTAATTGCTATATCTCTTGAGATAAGTGACCATAAATTTCACTTAACAAAGGGTGTCACAGTGGTAAAGAATCTATCTGCTAATGCAGGAGACGCAAGAGACACAGGTTCAATCCCTGGGTCAGGAAAATCCCCTGGAGTAGGAAATGGCAACCCAATCCAGTATTCTGGCCTGGAAAGTTCCATAGAAGCCTGATGGGCCATAGTCCATAGGGTCGCAGAGTCGGTCATGACTGAGCACACACTTGGGCACATTATAAAGAAGGGGACTGCTTTCATCTCCAAGATTTCCTCTTATTCTTTTAAAAAATTTAAAGGAGTTTAGTTGTGTTTACCTGATAAGTATATTAAGGGGAATATTACTTAAGTTTGGAAAAATTCACTTTCTACAAGTAAAGTAAAAGTGGTCATATAATATTTAATACCAATGGGGAAATCTTAAATAGTACAATTTGAAAAGGGCAAAGAAGGCTACTTATAAAATGTTTATTTCATTAGAACTAAAGTAAGATATTGTTCTTACTGCTAGCAAATGAATTTGAAAAGCAAGAGCTTTTCCCACCAGTTCTTGTGTTCCTTTTTTATTTAAAAATCATTTTTTTTCCATAACAGTAAAGAAATAATCAACGTGGCAGTAACAACTTTCATCTACTGGGAGCTTATTGTATGCTGGGTACTAAGCACTTTCCCATATATTATCTAATTTAATTATCATAAAGCTTTATGGAATAAACAGTGACTATGTCCAGTTTTATAGATTAGATAACTGAGACTGAAAGAGATTAAGTGAATTGCCCAAGGTCTAAAGCCCGAAAGTGGCACTAGGGGAAAAAATCTTAAACTGGCAATAGGGGAAAAAAATCTTAAACTGGTGGTGAAAAGGCCTGCACCTGAAATACCAGAGGCAGGAGTCACTAGATCACTGACGTGGATAAGAACAGGCAGTTACGTATTCAGTATAACTATTTTGGTTAATAGCAAATGGTCATAAAATTTCTCTGCTGTCTATATAAATGTTTTCTTAAAAATTGTATTTTATAAAGTATATTCATCATCTCTGAACTTCTACTGGTAATTGAAAGTCTACAAAGAATTTTTAGATCAGATCTAAATATTTTAAAAATTGTGCTTTTGTGAGATTTAATACTCCATGTAAAATTCTTCCTAGTGAACTCAAGTTTCAAAGGATTTAGATATTGTTTGACTAGGCACATCATGAAATGAGGAATATAATCCATTAGTTGAGATTGTTATAGAGACAATATTAACAGTAGCCATCTCTTTCTGTAGACGTATTTGAGGAAATTACTATCCCCATACTGCCAACAGTATATGATATATAAGCGAATAAATTGATTACAGATTTTTAGCAGACTCCATGGACAAGTAGTTTGCTTTCTCATATTTGTTGAATCAATTTGTAATCAAATTTGTAATCAAACTGATTCAATAAAAATTAAAGGAAGTGAGTTAGTACAAGTGCAATTTCATCTAAAACTATACCTTTCTCCATGGAAAGCTGGCACAATTTCCTTTTTCATCACTAAAAAAGATGCTTCTCAATAGAAACTCTTTGTATAGGAATCTATACTTGCCATTTTCCCCCCTGGTATTCTGATTTTCTTTAAAAACCAGATTAAAAAATTTTTTGCATATATATCTATAGAATTTCCCATAGCTACATAAGGAAGAAATCTTCAGAAAAAATAATTAGGTAACTCTTATGCATAAGAGTTAAGAACATGTTAACAAAGTGTTCAGCATCTTTATCAAGGCAGCCAAGATGAATTTGAGGGTGATGTGCCTAGGGAACATAACAGTACAAAAATTTTTTAAATTAATGGAAAATGAGAGACAGAAAAGGTGTTTTTGCAGTAAAATGAATTTTGAATAATTTTCTATTACTAAGAGAAGCTTTTACTGCTTATCAGTATGATTCAGGACTTGGAGATTCAGATTACTAATTTAATGATTTGATTGCAAAATTCTTATAAAATTTTACGAAAGTTTCAGCTCCCTTAAATTCCTTCTGGGCCATGTTTGATAAATAAAAGTTTTAAATATGACAAAATAATCCAGTATTTCAAGTGAGTAATGGAAGATGTCTGCTTTAGTGATTACCTGCTGTGCTATGAGTTTATTTTTGTGTTATAAAAGATGCCTGAAATTATGGCAGATATTTGGAAGTGTTTCTCTGAAGGGCGAGAACATGAAAGTTCAATATGAATGCTATAACAGAGAAAAAGAAAATTTTTTATTGAATAGAAACTAATGAGAACAAATAATTGGAGCAATTTTAAAATAAATTTCAACTATGGACATAGCATGACAATATCAACCCAAATCATATTTCAGTATTAACTTCCTCAAGCAAAATGTAGACCTTGTAGTTTTATTACTTGAAAGCTCAGGGTAACTTTCTAAGAACATTAATTTACAATTAAAATGAAATGGACTAGCAAGTCATTTTTGAAAAAATCAGATAGTGCAGGCAAATAATCTGGGTAATTTTGATACCTTGTGTCAGCAATTCTTTTGTACTAAATTTCAAGAGAGTATATGGGAATGGAAAGACTGGAGCAACAGAAGTTTTTCTTGATGAGAAAACTTGAATCTGACTTATAGGTTTCTTTCAGGAATAACTTTTAAAATGCTAATATACTTTAAAATATTTTTATACTCTGCATAAAATTTAGACTTTATGATTTATACATAGTTAATACTATAACAGGTATCTAGTCTAGTAATAACTTAAAACCATTGCTACATTTTATTATTCTCCATGAGATTTAAAACCATTGTTAACAATTATTAGGTATTATACTCTGGCTGAATTGACTTTGACTTGACATTAAAAGGATGTATCCTTCATCAGAAATCTCTGTGTGTAAATGTCTTAAGACTTTGGGAAACAGCCTTGATTCTGCTTTTATACAGTAAAGAAAATAGCTGAGTCAGCAGCTTGCATAGTAAAATTTGTGATTATATAATTCCTTTTTATGGTCCAATAGTGAAAAATGTAAAGCTATTAGAAACATAGAGGTCTGAAAGAGGACTGTCTAAAATAACTAGACATTGTCAAATTCAGAGTTCTATTTGGGTAGTCATAATACATACAGAAAAATACTTCTAGCCAGACCTACACTATCATTTGACCTTCACAAGTCATACTTTTCAACAGTGGATGCAATTTTCTCAGACTGCACTTTTGACCTTGAAGACATTGATTCTCAATGTTTTATTTCTCTTAGTAAACTTATAATGCTTCTGGTCCCCAAACTGACTTCATCTAAAATTCTTATCATCATATGTTTAAACTATTAAATTCTATAATTCTTATTTTAAATATTCAGCATGCAAGGGCAAAGAGAGAAGCTCCAGCTCCTTTGGAACTATCTTTTTCTTATTGCATAAGTCTCTTAGCTTCCTTAATGCAGGATGTCCCTCATCTGAAGCTGGGGCTGAGGAAATAGCTGCATTGTACTGCAGCCTCAAATCTTGCTACAGCTCCCAGGCTTAGGATTCAGCTGAGCTGCAAAGAAACATGCAGGGAAAACATTGCTCTGTGGAAGCTAAAGCTTTACCTAAGGATTTTAATGGGGTAAGTTCTTTTTCCTGAAACTTAGCCTGTCTGACTCATGTTCATGTTTTTCTTGATGACTCTAACAGAATGACCTTACGTGTAAGTTTTACTTACTATTTCTCCTTGCTTTTGTCCTGTCTTTAAATGAACTTTCTACCTTGCATTCTACTTAGAAGATAGCAACTGAAAAGCTTTGAACATTCCATCAACTCCCAGCAGTTGGATATTCTTAAGCCAATCCACTTTAATTGTCCCTGATTCTTAGCTCTACTGTAATGCAATAGCATTCAAAAGCCAGGGAGCATGTTCACCAATTAGCAGAAAGGAAAAAAAAGTCAGTGCAGCAGAACTAAAATTGAGAAGCACCAATGTAAATGTTAAGAAATCACTTAACATTTCTAAGTAACTTGAAATGGATTTAACTTTCATAAGAGAAGGTGCGTTTTCTTACCTTGGATATGAATAACTCTGTCATGATCTACAGTATAGTTGTCTGGATGATGATCAGCCCAGCAGATTGAAATCAGCACCAGAAGAAGTAGACTCTTCATCTTTGTAGCCCAAATAATCTTCTTCACTGTGAGAGCATCACATACAAAGAAGCTTGTGAGATTTGGAACCCTTTAGAGTGTTGCACTGCACAACTTTTACTGCCTTATCATCCTAGAATGGGTCTGTAAAAATATTTAACCCAATCTGCTCAGAAAGTTACTGTAGCTGTCTTTGGAAGCTGAAGACTGCAGCTTTGAACAATTCCAGTTTCCCTTATGTAGTCAGAGTCCAAACAGTGTTTAACTCTATCTTTACAGAGTTGTAAATCTAGAAATTTATTTAGAACAGTATAGTTTTGAAATAGAGAGTTATAGCAAGTTAAAAGAGATATGATAAAAATATAAAGACTTAAAACATTTAAACCTCTGAATTTGAAGTACAAGTTAATAAAACAATTTGATATAGCTACATATGAATATTTATCACCCAGTTTAGTTTGTAACTGAATATTAAGCCAGGGCAAATAAAGAATATTTGCATGAAACTTGACATCATCATTCATTTTACATATGGCTTTCTAAGCAGGTTAGATTTGCTTGTTCTAAAAAGAAAAGAGGACACACACAAAAAATGCCTGATTAAATAGAAGCAGCACATTTGTTAGAGACTCACCATCTTAAACACTGCTTGGGTCTATGGTGAATAATTGAAAATTAGAGACAAATGAGGTTATAATTGTGCATGCTATCACTGCAGTCATCCTGATTGATTTTTCATTCATTTCTACCTGAAATGCTGACGCATCAACTTGGAGTGCCAGGTAGGGTCTCTGCAGTCAGCAGAGCCTTGGCTGCAGGGAACATCCCTGCCAACCTCGCAGGGCAATTAGGCAAATGAAGAGCTGAAATAGACAGCCAGCTGTCCTGAGGGACAGCAGCAGAGCCCTTGCCTGGCTATTGTCATTCAAGACCAATTTGATAAAAAGGGACACAATCCCCCCCAAAACGTTGTCATTGTAAGGACCAAAAAACGATTCCAAGTGATACACACCAGATGACCTTTGCAGTATTTGCGAGGCAAGAATTTCAGTGTGGCTCCTCTGTTTTAATGTGGAAGCCGAGGCAGATATTAAGAAGGGCTTTCTTTTCCTCTCATGCACACAGCAGCCTTAACAATACTTGGCTATTTTTAAAACTGAAATTGCACAGTACTGGCTTCTCACACTAATTTGTTTTTTCCAGGAAAGCCTGACTCCCTGGAATACCTATTAAAGAGCTCCGAGTCTGTTCCTGGAGGTCTTTGCAGGCCAGCCTCTCCTCCAGAGCCTAAATGCCCTATCACAGACTTCTCCCAGGTCCCTCTTGGGACCTCAGTACGTCTCTGTTTCCTCCTCTCAAAATCGTTATGATGCTCTGACTTCAGTCTCTAGTGTCTGCCCTAACCCTTTTCTTTTTATCATGTCACAGAAAGAAGATAGTGGATGAGCAAACTGAGAAACTTACTTTCCCAAGAAACCAAAACTGTCGACTTCAAAATTCTCATTTACTGATTTTATTTTCACAGGTTTACTTGCTTGTTCCTCTGAGGCGTTTTTTGGGGAAATGATTTTTTTTGAAGCTACTGACTTTTGCCTATAGGAATACTGTTAACAAATATGACCTGTTTTCAATCCAGAATAATGCTTTGGGTGAAAATATATAATAAAGGTGACCTTTTAGAATTTGGAATATAATTGGCACAATTACACACACACACATAAGATAGTAGGCCAGCCGGTACACGAGGTGTCCTGTGCTTTCTTGCTTGACATGGGAATCAGAGGAGAGGCGGAGTTGTGGAAGAGAGGGTATGAGAAAAATATACAAGTGAGCGTTAAAAAAAAGACATTCAAAGAAGGATCAAGGTGAGCTGAGGCAGAGAATTTGCCATATTATCTTTCACATTAAATTGAACATCTACAGTATAACTTATAGAAAGTTGTATACTCTCCTCTCAAAACACACACATACACAGTTATGCACCCTACCACAGAAGTCATTCTGATTTGCTGATTTCCTAAGATTTATTACACACAAATTTCTCTCCTTTAATTCCATATCATAGTATTAAAATTATATCACTAAGAATTCATTCCAGTGTGTTATGATATTAACTATCCAATGACCCAGTTTTAAAATGCAAACATCCCCAGGGGGAGGGTGGGACAGACAGTGCTAGGGATAAATAATAACAACAGCAGTTACTTTTCATTGAATGTCTGTTATCTGCCAAGTCCTCTCCTAAACACTGTGCATATACTGGCGCATGCAGTCTTTACAGTAATACTGTGAAACGCAAGCTTCCATTTTTCCTGACACAGTCACCTTGCTGGAGGTCACATATCTAAGAAAGCAGCAATGTTTGTGTTTGCTTCAGGCAAAAGTAGCACCTACTTTGAATTGCACTTATTTTTCTGAAAGAGAAACCTACTTATTTGTTTCACTACCTTTTTTATTAGGCTCTTTTACTTGAATCTACTGTGCTCTTAAACCTTTGACTTGTGCTTTGTGTGAATATAAAACTTTTCCCCCAAGACTGAAGTATGAGGAATCAGATGGCACTTTCCTTAGCCTACTTCTGCCCTGCCTCGTTTACAATACCATGCTGGTGCCATGAGCACTGCCACAGTGACTCACGTGTGGGTGCACAGATGTGTGGGTACACAAATGTGTTCATACATACACACCATCTTTAATTAAAATCGATGAGGACATTTCACATCTTCAGTGATTTTTGATTAAAATAAAATGCATATATCAGTGAACACTTGCCAGTACCCCACACTGGCATTAATGCAGTCCAGGTAGGAGAAAGCAGAAATGATCTTTGTTACTCTACTTGTATAAGAGCTGTCTTACCAAAAGACATGAAAATAGACAAGCAAGCTTTAGGGACACAATCTTCAGAAGTCTAAGCAAACTGCAGGTACACGCGAGGCATTGCACACTGGACTGAGGTTTGTGAGGACACGGGCTCTGCCAGCTCTCTATGTGCTGATGCTCAGGGGAGATCTGCTTGTTTGCGTTTGTAATGATGTCTTCTCTGAGTGTCTAGAGATTTTTGGTTAAAATCTTTCAGTTTTTTATAGGAGCAAAATTTAGAAAATTTGGGGGCTTTTATACAACCAGTTATTGTTGGCTTTGAATTAGCATTCTGAGTTCACCTGCAACTCACACACTGATGGCCTCCTTTTACAGGCTACCAAACTTTGGAACCATGATGCTGCAGCCAGATTCAAGATGAGTTCCTATGGAAATGTCTGTGTTCACAGTCACAGACATCATAGGACTGTAATTTTGCAGCTCTGCTTTGGTGAAAATTGAGCTACTATTTAGAAGCAAGATATCTACACAGCTTAAAAGTCTCATAGTTCGATAGACACAGAGAGAAACTAATACCAGCAGTCTAGTAACAAAGTGGCCAACTGCTGTTTCTTAAATACCTATTATGCTAGAATTATTATTTAATTAGATACTGGAGAAATAAAACCAAGTGGTAAGCATGTATGCTATTTTCTGTGTCTTGAGAGGTAATGACACATATTTCCTGAACTCCTATTACAGTGGGCCCTCTATATCTGTGGCTTCTATATCCTCAGATTCAACCAATCTCAGGACAAATATATTTGGGGAAAAAATTCCAGACAGTACTGAAAAGCAGAACTTTAATTTCAACTATTTTTGTAGCCTTTACATTGTATTAGGTATTATAAGTAATCTAGAGATTTTAAAATTAGGGGAGGATGTGCCTAGATTTGGAGAAGGCAATGGCACCCCACTCCAGTACTCTAGCCTGGAAAATCCCACGGATGGAGGAGCCTGGTAGGCTACAGTCCATGGGGTCACTAAGAGTCATACACGACTGAGCAACTTCACTTTCACTTTTCATTTTCATGCATTGGAGAAGGAAATGGCAACCCACTCCAGTGTTCTTCCCTTTAGAATCCCAGGGACAGGGGAGCCTGGTGGGCTGCCGTCTATGGGGCCGCACAGAGTCGGACACGACTGAAGCGACTTATCAGCAGCAGCAGCAGCAGCAGCAGGGCCTAGATTATATGCAAATACCGCTCCACTTTATATAAGAGACTTGAACATCTGTCAGTTTTGGTATCCACAGGGCATCCTGGAACCAGTTCTGACAAGGACACCTAAGGATGACTGTACATGCTAGGTACTGTCCTTGAAGCTTCACCCATTTAGCTGTTATATCTCAGAACAACCAAATTGAAGTCAATCTGTTCATATACACATTTTATAGTTCTGGAAATGAGTCAGTGTGGAAATTCCCCATCATGTCAAGTGAGAAGCTGGGGATCTGGGCAGTCTGGTGTGACCCCAGGGCCTGCAAAATCCACCACCATCACTGGGGGTGTCCTGGTACCTCGAGGAATGCCAGCAGCTCTCATAACTCTTTCAAGGCTTCATACAAGCTGGAGTGCTTCTCTCTAGCCGCCTCTTACTGGGTTGTAGGCATAGCACTGATCACAACACTGTTGGCACAAGACATGTGCATGTCCAAAGTCGGAATGCTTTCCTCACAGCATGCCCGGCACCCAGAACTATCCTTTGTGCCAAGAAGAAAGGTGAATTTAAAACTGGACCTGGGAGAAACACTTACCAAGACTAAAGGAGCTAAGAAGGCAGTTTCTATGCTGTTTATAAAGATCACATGTGTTATTACGTAGAGGATGCTGAAGAGTTGGTTTGTTCCTCCATTATGGCATCGTGAAATTGACCAGGTTTCAATTCAGCACTTGAAATTTAGTTTACAAATTATAAGAATCAATACAAAGGTTACTAGAAACTGAACAAACCACAGAATCTCATTGGACAGAATTATTCTACAATAGACTGAATCTCCTCCTTGCTATCAAGCCTGATCTAGTTAGAGGTGGGTTAATGATCAGTGGTGCAGGGAAATGAAAAAAAGAAAAGACAGGGAGTGCAAAAGTATGCTTTTTCATTAGGTTAAATTAATTCAACTTTTAAAAATTGCTCTTTTTCTGAAGTAACTTTTTTTG